TTACAGCAAATGGGCTATGTCACATATATTGGTATAGTTTTGCATACAACTCCGACTCGTTGAACTATATCTGAAAATCGAAAAAAATAATGCATTTATCTCTTTTATCATCTGAAATATTACTGATAAAATTTTTTAAAAACATTTGTATAGACAGCACATAAAATTGGCGAAAAACCTTCTTAAGTTTGATGGGTATAAAATACCCGATTAAATGATTTGGAGTGATTTAAGGGAAAAAACAAAAAGTTGTCTGGAGGTCTGGAAAACCAGACCTTCGCCGACAAAACTTTATTACAAAAAGTATTATTTTCTCCTTGGTTGGGTATTAAATTCCAAACCAATATTTAAACGAAATATACAAATCTTTTCGGGCATTTATTTGGAATAATAAATTGAAACAAATAGAAAGGAACATTTGTAGTTAAGAGACTAAAACGGAATGGTTTGGTATGATTAACTTTGTAATAGTAGACAAATGCAATGTTTATACAAAATTAATCACTCGGATGAAGAAACTTGGAATATTATAGGTAATTTTATACAAATGCCCATAACTCTTTTTCACAACTAAGGAAAGTATATTAACTCAATGAGAAAGAAGAAATACTGAAAACTAGACTTCAAACTTATTCATTCAGTGTATGTTGACTTTTTTTTGTTTAAATGTCTTTTTGACCGAGTTAAGCTATTTCAATTGATATTTTATAGTGTGTCTTTTTGTGCTGTAATGTTACACTACTGTCTCAGGTTAGGGTGAAGGTTGGCCCCTGTTAAAACGTTTAAACCAGATGCATTTCAATGCACCTGTCCTAGGTCAAGAGCCTGTTGTTCAGTGGTTGTCGTTTGTTGATGTGGTTCATAGGTGTTTCTTGTTTCTCGTTTTTTATATAGATTAGACCGTTTGTTTTCCTGTTTGAATTGTTTTACACAAGTCGTTTTGGGACCCTTTATAGCTTGCTGTTTGGTGCGAGGCTCCGTGTTGTAGGCCGTACTTTGACCTATAATTGTTAACTTTTTATACATTGTGACTTGGATGGAGAGTTGTCTTATTGGCACTCATACCACATCCTCTTATTTATATTGCTTGTATCTCCGCTATTGAATGTAAAAGAAGCTCTCAATGTTTTAAATAGTTCACCATGAGTAAAATAGTAGAATTTTGAAACGAAACCTTTCAAAGACTGTAATCATATATATATAACCGACTAACGGTACAAGAAATTGCTTAGCCGATTATTCAAAAAATAAAAATGCTATATCTAAAATGTACATAGGTATACTTAAGGGTACCAACGTTTTATCGAGTAAGCAGGACAATTCGTTAATTAAATTCGACAACTTAGATCTAAAAACAATTTCAGGTGTTGAAATAACACCACAACAAATAATAGATCAGAATGATATTCAAGGCAAACTTAATCAAAATACCATACCGAAGTGGAAACTGAGTTTGCTGTAAGTATTGACTGGAACTCGGTTTGGGGTATTTCAAGAAATCTAGTTGTGAAAAAACAAAATTGGTGAATTCCAATTGAAGTTCATACATAACAGTATTTACACGGAAATAGACTACATCGATTTGAACATTCACTGGTTCAAGATAACTGTCATTTTTGCAAAACACATACTGTAAAACGATCTTCCCATTAATAACAGATTAAAAAACTATTTACATTAATATATACGAACTATGCTCAAACTTGGTATACATACGAATGACAAAAAAAATTATTTAAACGGAATCAAACCTACATCGATTTGAACATTCATTAGTTCAAGATAACTTTCATTTTTGTAAAAATCACCTTGAAACACAAACTGTAAAACGATCTTCCCATTAGTAACAGAATAAAAAACTATTTACATTAATATATACGAACTATTTTCAAACCTGGTATACATACGGACGACAAAAGATAATTAGGTATAATAAAGGTACCGATGTACAGGAATTTTGAATATTTATTTAAAAACATGGACAGTTTTCGAATAACAAGTTTTGAAATTGACTTTTATAACCTTCAGGACAATATGTACTAGACATATCGTATATATATACGGATAAAAATGGATTTTTTTTGTGCACTATTAAAAGATATAAAAATACGAAAAGACGTGGATGATTGCCAACTGACGTAGAAGTCAACACCCATAGGTCCCTATTCGACCTTCAACAATGAGCAAAATCCATACCGCATAGTCAGATATGTCAGGCCTAGAAATGACAAATGTTAAACGGTTGAAACGAGAAAACTAACGGTCTGATTTATGTACAAAACAATTAATGAAAGATAATATAATATACAGCAACAAACGACAACCACTGAAAATCAGGCTCCTGATATTGGATTCTTGTTTGAAATCTTTTACATTTAACATTTCGGGGCCTTTTTAAATGACTATTCGATATGTGTTTTGCTTATTGTTGAAGGCCGAACGATGACCTATAGTTAACCTCAATGTCATTTGGTCTGTGGTGGAGTGTTGTCTCATTGGCAATAATACCCCATGTTCTTTTATACACACAGAATGTTAGAGTGTTAAACATAGATATAAAAAGATGTGATATGAGTGCCAATGAGACAACTCACCATCCAAGAAAACCATTATAGGTCAAAGTACGGCCTTCAACACGGAGCATTGGCTCACACCGAACAGAAAGCTATAAAGGGCCCCAAAAATGACTAGTGTAAAACCGTTCAAACAGGAAAACGACAACAACTGAACATCAGGTTCCTGACTAAGGACAGGTGCAAACAAATACAGTTGAGTTAAACGTTTTAATAGGCGCCAACCTTCACCCTAACCTGAAACAATAGTGTAACATCACAACATAGAAAGACACACTATGAAATATCAATTGAAATGGCTTAACTCAATCAAAAGACATATTAACAAAAACAAGTGAACATACACTAAACGAATAAATTTGATCTATGACACAATGTCAATACAAAGTTGATAAAAAGGGGGTGAGATGTAAAACAATATCAGAAAGATAACCATAACCTTGGACAAAATGCCGCCATATAAAATAACCTACACAGGTAACTAAAAATAATTTTGTTGTAAGGTATACATGGCTGAGTACGGAAATATTGTTTACAAAATAAATAATTTTGTTGTTCATAGTACGAGAACAGAAGTGAAAATTTATCGTCATACCAAACACTTATCAAAGGTGGTATATATTAATAATAGTGAGACGAAATATAACATTAACATGATTAAATAAGTAAACATTAAATAACAAACCTGCATTACAAATTGTATCAACAGGTCAAATTAACACAAAAGTACGATTTGAGAGAACTCGCAGTTACTGAAAGCCAGTTAAAAGCCAAAAACAATTAATGATAAAAAATCATGAATCAGAGACTAAAATCAACTGAAACACATCCCAGGGATTTAGTGTTTTAACGTCATGGACAGTCAAAGAAGACATGACTTGTGCAATGCCAAAATAAAAGTATCGACAGGCAGTAGGATAGTTAGGAGTTAACCTTTTAATAAATATGTATAATGTTATATATAGATAAGTAATCTCTATATAGAAAATGAACGTGGATGTGTATTTATACTTCCCAAAAACCGTTTGAAAAGAATACAAATTTAGTTATGTTTTAACTTGCTGATGACAAAGTCGATATTTGTGCCAATGTAAATATATTCAAAGATCTAATTACAACATTGGTAAGATAACTTTTACTAATAAGTTTGTTTAAAGGTTCGATGAGTTTACACATAGTGATTTCCGCGCTTTTAGTACAATATTACCGTAAAATTTAAGATGTGAAATACCGTTTTTATTAAGTTTTCTACAGGTGCAGCCAAATTTACTAATCAAATCTTTGTTTCTATGAAAGAATTTAGTAAAAGTTTTAAGTAATTTATGGTAACGAAATCCCTGACTAAATAATTTACCAGTGATGCATTGATTACGTTCGTTAAAATCTATGTTATCACTACAAACACGGGCATAACGAACGAGTTGGGATATAAACACCGTATGATGGAGCCAAAGGAACATTGCCGTCTAAAAAAGGAAAATTAACAATAGGGAATGAAAAATCGTCTCTTTTGTCGTAAATTTTAGTATGGAGTTTCCCTTTAGAAATTGAAATGTCTAAATCTAGAAAAGGACTGTGTTTGCTTGCACCAACCTCACCCCCTTTTAAACCTGAGACAGTAGTGTAACAGTACAACATTAAACAAACTATTAAAATCAGTTGAAAAGTGCTTAACTCATTAGATCGATACAGAGTAGATAAAACAACTAGCGAGAAAAAAAAACACAGACCGGATTTGGCAAGGAATTTGTAAATCCGTCACACAAAAAAAAACCACAAAGTACAGATCTAAGAGGTCTCACAGTACTTACAGCTAGTTCAAAGCCAAAAACCACTCATCGAAAATCATGTTTCTAAGTCAGTATAAAGTTTGAAATCAGTTATTTGTTAAACGTAGACAAATTGTTAATCACAACAAAAAGAGAAATGTAAACACAATGCCATGTTTCATGAGCGATTCATGAGTAACCTTTGCATCTCAGGAAACTTATATTAATCCATTTTTAGTAATTTCCAATGAACCAACGAGGCACCCTTAAAAAGTATTAAAGCCAACACAGTTTAGTATGTTCATTCAAATTGTTTGTTCACTCGAGTGAAATCTGTAGCCAGAAAAAAAAAGGTTAAGCAACAAACAATCAATCAGTCAATCGCTGTAGCGTGCTTGCCCTGAGTGAGGGAAGTTATGGGTTCGATCCCAGGCCAAGTAAAACCAAATACTTGAAAATTGGTATTTGTTACTTTTCTGCATAATACTAGACATTTAGCAGTAAGAGCCCAGACTGTTCAGCTCGGAGTCAGAACAATGACTCATGTCTTCCTGTGGTCTGTTATCGTTTTATCTAGCATGTTAAAAATCTTGCTCAGGATGTCGGTATTGTAAAAACCAAGGTTCATATTCACATCACCATCTAGTTTATGCCATGGTTAAACATTTTCTAATTTTATATTTAATGCATTCTTGAAGTTATTTTATGTCTCGTTGTCTTAACTCGTCGTCGCCATCAGCACTTATCAATAACAGCTATTGCGTCAACCTCTAACTGCGCTCCCTGAAAAAAAGTTGACAAATTTTATATTATTGATTAAATATGTAAAAGAAAAGATACTTAGACCTGACTAAAACATAAATTAAAACAACTTTTTCTTATTTCATTAGAAATACAGAACAAACGGTACACGTATTCATATTGTATGCCTTTTTCTTATTCTCATACGTTACAAAATTGTTGACTACAAAATGGTTGAACAATATGACTAGCGTTGTAAGACCTAAATTGCAATATTTGGAAAAAGAATATCAAAAGTGCAAAATGAACAAATCATAACACAAAGACAAAAAGTAAAAACCATTGTACAGAAAACCTCAGATTGACCACCAACAAGCTTACAAACAAAGGGGCGCCCCGGAATGGTTGCCAATTGTCTGCGATAATGATTCGTTCCATAACAGATTGGTTGTCTTATTTTGTCAAAGCTTAGGGTGCTGCCAATCCATAAAGTATCGAGAATTGTAAGTTAAATCTACTTCCATGACAATATGATCGTATAAATAAGTAGTAAGCCTTCAGTTATCTATGTTTACTTAGGCCCATGTTTCCATCGACACCAATACCTTGGACATCTATCTATTTATTATTATGGCACTATAAGAAAATGTACCGAGGACTTCACCAATATATTACAAGTCAGATTCGGACAACATTGACCATTGTCCGTTCAGAATCTAAAGGACAATGGTTGATTAAATTGGTCGTACTGCAAAATACAAATAACGTCACGTCATTAATTGAATTTCCATTGTTCAGGACGTATTGAACCAATCCCGACTTTTTCATGGTTTTGGTGTACACTTTTGAGAATAATACCCAGAATGCATTAGATTCTGAAACGGCAAGTTATTTATAGATTACCAATTGACATCGTAGTTTATGGCACATCATTATTTTGATTTTCAAAGACCGTGTTTAATAGAAACATGAACCCTTAACAAATTTTGATGTACTAAGATATGCAGTAAAGTAAAGGGCCTCATTTCAATCTTTTATACTTATTAGCCAACCATTTCGTTGATAAGTCGAAAAGTCATCAATCAACTACTTCAGCATAACCTCAAAAATTAAGATACAATTACTTACTTGTGATATTGCTACTACTTGACAAGATGATCTAGCAGGGAAATCCTTTGGAAAGTCTGAAAATTATACAATATTAAATAATACATACATAAGTAATTATCTTTAAATAAGTCACTACGACAACTCAAATCGTGACATACAACAGATCAACATACAAAAAAGAGGACAGTTTGTAATAAAATAGTTAAATAAAGATCCAAATGTGTTCAGTATTAAAATTAAAGTTTAAATTTCATCACTACGGGTAACATTACAATACTTGAGGTGGCAAGTATTGTATTTTCCGGGAACTAGGTTGCTCTTTTGTGTACTGAGGTCAATGTATCTGAACACTGTGATTTGACAAAAAAAATAGCATCTACTGAACATTTTTCCCAAGCTGAGGAATAGATCATTTGTAGAAAAATATGAAATATTTTCACATACAGGTGAAAATGAGTTTTGAGAAATTTTTTTATTTTGTATTCACTGCATGATAAAAAAAAACAACCACTTAGCACTATTGGCCTTTGGTTTGTAAAGAGAGCAGAAAAATAAACGATCATCATATATGTTCGAATTTATTTCTGAATATTATAGTGAAAGTACTTCTGTTGACTGTGTATGCAGGTTCTGGGTCAGTGTTACAAAGTGGTGAAAATACGAAAAAGGCTATCATTATCTCTATTACTACGAAATTGAAAAGATTATAGTCGTATGGATTGAGTCCCGCGGATTGTTTCCTTTTGGTTGAAATATTTAAAATGTATAAATGAGTAATCCTTCTAATCCAATCGTTATATTCCGCTAACTTCAATCACTCTATTACCGAGAAATGATAACGGATACAGGGTGCTGAATTGTTTGATTTAATTAATGAGTTACCTCTTATTCATATTATAAACTTTACACTCACATTTCATATAGACTGCATTAAAGGCAGAATACTCTCTTAAATCTGTCAGAAAAACTGTTACTTTGACAACTGAAACATGGATAATACGGTTCTAATTTGTGTATATAATTGTTGTTTGTAACTTTCTTTCAATAGCAAAAGTATATTATCACATGTGTAATAATATGACATTCATAAAATAGATATAGGAAGATGTGGTATGAGTGCCAATGAGACAACTCTCCATCCAAGTGACAATTTATAAAAGTAAACCATTATAGGTCAAGGTACGGCCTTCAACACGGAGCATTGGCTCACACCGAACAGCAAGCTATAAAGGGCCCCGAACAATTACTAGTGTAAAACCATTCAAACGGAAAAACCAACGGTCTTATCTATAAAAAAAAACGAGAAACGGGAAACACGTATGAACTACATAAACAGACGACAACTACTGTAATCAGATTCCTGACTTAGGACAGGTGCAAACATTTGCAGCGGGATTAAAAGTTTTAATGGTACCAAACCTTCTCCCTTTTCTGAAACAATTTTATAACATCACAACATAGAAAAACACACTATAAAATATAATAGAATAGAAATAACCCTCACATACATTAGAATACTTATATGTACATACAGAATATTTCACTATCGATAATAATATGCTGGTATGTCTAAAATAAGATTAGTTTGTTTACTCATAGGAAATACATACACTAATAATGATACACTAAGTGTCATACAATATTTCATAGTCACATTGTATGAAGGTCGGAAGGAGTGTCATCCCAATTTCCCGTAAAAATCAACGCTGAATACCAAATTCCGGAAGATTTAATCATACATTCCCTAGTCTCGATACGTGTAAATCTCAAATTTCCGCAAAAGAATAAAAGCCCAATCCATACGTCCCCGAAAAGATCCTCCCGCCTCTCTTTGGTGACTTCAAATATTTCATGTTCACATTTCTATCATAGAAGAACTTACTGAGACAACGGAACACATGAATATAATAATTTTTCAATCTTAATATTTAAATATAAGTTATATTTGATGATAATACATTATAACATATATAAAGATTGAGACTGAACACGAATGCGGCCACTTACATTTGAAACAAAAACCATCTCAAAAGTGATGTTTTATGGCATATTTGATAGATTTTACATATTTTAGCTTGTATTTGAGCGTCTTTAAAGCCAAATCATTTCAAATCTTTTACACAAACATATTGAATCGACTGAAGAAGACACTTAAAAGTTAAAAAAATGTCAAAAATCGGTCATCGGATGTAGTTCGAATCTTAGACCAAAACTAGCCCTTACCGGACCTTCTCCTTTGATTTGTTCTCATCCTTAATATCTAGTAATATTTGCCATTTGGTGTTGAGCAAGCAATAATAAACAATTCATCAATCTATCAAAATAATTGATGAATGTTACATGTGTTACGTATGCCAGAAACGGAGAATAATCTATTTTCAGTATATTTTCATTATTCTTATTCTTATTCTTATTCTTTTTTATAATTATTATTATTATTATTATTATTATTATTATTATTATGATTATTATTATTAATATTACAATGAATGAACTCACCATCCTTTAAACTACCACCAGCAGCCTCTAATACAGCACGAAAATTCTTGAATATCTGTAGAATGAAACTTTTGTAACTAATTACGCCGCATTTAGAAACGCTATGAAAATTTCAGTAGATGATAAGAGAAGAAAAAAATTGTATTGTGTTTTGGCTACTTCCTCTTAGCATTAGATTGACATATTTTCTATTGTCTGTATGTGTATTAGTAAGTGACAACTAAACGACTGATGTTTTGATCAGGTATCCAAGGGTTATACCATGTATACAGGGGTAATGCTCCAATACTTCGTCTGAAATTTAACCCCATAACTCTGTTTACCTTTGCAAATAGGTTTTCTTTACTCTGTTTTCCGTTCTTGATTACACTAGCAGAATTCAAAGATTGATTCATAGTTGAAAGTCTTAAAGATAATGGTTTTACTACAAGAATCACTCAAACGTAACATTTCCAGTGATCCATGCATTACAATGAGGACAAGATCAGATAAATCCTGCAAGACGGACATGTACACCTAAAGATCACTCCATACACAAAATATTGTTGACCTATTGCTTATGGTACAAAATGTATATAAGAAACAGATGTAATCAAGAAAAATTTACATTGCCAATAAAGAATGAAAAGGAGATTAAGGTCAGAAGATACAAGCCAGAGAGACACGTATAGCTTACAATCATGCCATGCACCAACTATAGTTTACCTATTGCTTAAAGTATCTCAGAAACTATTGATTACAGTGACTTAACCAGGAAAACGTAAAATTGACCAATGTACCTTGAAAATAGGGTCAAGGTTAGATGAACCCTTCCAGACAAAGTAGTTGTTGTATGGAATACATTTTCATAACGATTTGTGCTCACCTGTTCAGTTTCAGGAATAAGACCACCAGGAACCAGTTGAAGTGTGACAGGGTCTACTCCTAATTGTCCAGACATGTATAGAGTATTTCCCGCCAAAACAGCTTGACTTCAAAAATTAAAACATAAGAATAAGTCATTAGAAGAAAACAACAAAAGTACATATGTGTTTCAGAGTCGTCCACATGTCCAGCATTCTGCGACTAATAATATATATGCGTAGCTAAAGTCTTCTGAAATAGAAATAAAAAAGAAATATATTTAACTCTGACTGTGTAATAACATTTGGAATTATACCACAAGGAAATAGTTGAACGAGGAATAGATCCTGTCACACTTCAACTGGTTTCTGGTGGTATAATTTTAAATGTAATGACACGGTCAGATTCAAATATATTTCGGTTTTCTTTTGGTTTTTTTGTTGTACTTTTTTTTATTTCAGAAACCTTTATCTTAGCATATATATTATCTTCGGTGTTTTTGAAGGGACTTACATTTGATATATGGGCGGAGGGAGGAGGATTTTAACAATATCTACAATTAAACATTTATATTAACAGCGCTTTAGCCT